AGGAAAGGAAGGGGTATCCCATTTAAATAGCTATGAATGGCTTTAGCTAAAGCATTTTGTGGGACGAATGAGTACTGTAACCAAATGCACCTTGGTGAGTGCAAAGCCAAAAAGCACAACTAGAAGATGAAAGAGCAGATTAAGATTTATTACTTTTAACAAGTAAGGAGAGCATGGGAATAATTTCCAAAGCAATGTTCCCTTGCCCGAGGAAAGGAAGTCTGCGGATTTTACTCAGGGAGCCTATGCATATGCATATAGAAAAGCAAGTTAAGGGCAGAAACATGCCCAAGCATGCTCAGTTTAAGGTAACAGTTCAAGAAGGGAAGACAGGATATGTATTTCTGGGACTGCTCAAGGTCACACAGAGCACAGGTTCTAAAAGGGATGGGGGGACACAACAGGACACAGAGAACACTTAGACATGCTCAGTTCAAAATTATAATGAGCCATGTTTACTCTTAGAGAGTCAGAGAGGCACAGTGGGTGCCTTGGCTGGTTCTGTCTAGGTTTCTTCAAAGAGTCTTAGCTGAAACAAAAATAAAGATAACTCTGAAGGTACTAATTAATGCAAAAGTTTGCCCCCAAGGATGCCTGCCTCACTTGATGGCTAACAGTATGCGGGAGGAAGAGGTATGAGACAAAAATGAAAAGAGCCATCAGCTCTAACACAGTAGGCCAGGCAATTTTATCCCCCAAAATGGCACCCTGGGAGGCTGATTATTTTAAATTAAAAGCTCTTAGAGACAAGAAGATGCTAAAGAGGCTTTACTCAAATATTCTCTCATCTGCCTGAAGTCCAGTCCCACTAAAATGGGTAACAATTGCCTTCAGTCCACTTCCTGAGGTTTCATTAACTGAGTTCATAACCCCGGATTGGAGACTTAAGAATGTAATCTTCTGGGAAGACTTTGTCACAAGCTATTGTTAGTCTCCCAAATCCCTCATTCTTTCAAAGAGAATCATTTTTAAACTAGTTATCTGTCATCTTGATCCTGGAATAGAAGGAGGACTGGAGATTTCTAAGTCAGTACACTTAGCTTTCCAGTGATGATTACTCATAGCTTCTCCCTGAAAGGCTGGCTTGCCAAGGCTTCTTTAGGCTTAGCCCACATATTTGGTCCTGTATGGCAATGAGTCAAATTCCACTATAGCAATACAAAACACCTCTGGGCTGCCATATGTAATGAAATACTGACATTACTAACTGTAGGGATGCTATAAAAAGTCAAATGAAAAATGCTATTCATCAACTTAAATAAAGGTAAGTAATTCATGACAGCCCTGCCTACATACTTTAAAATCAAGAGAAAACAAAATGCTTAAGACATCAGCCTAAATTTAGTTAGTAAATAGAAAAATAGGACATAACCTCTCCTTATGTTAAAATGAGTGAACATTAAAAAGGAAAAAATGAAGTACTGATAAACTATTATGAACAATGGAGTAACAATCTGGTTGTCAGCTAAGAATTAACTAGTGGTCGCCTTTCTAAACAGTGCTGCTTCTATTATCCTGGAGTACCACCAAGTGGTAGAAGGACATACTGCAAGTCTAGGATTGATAATTGAATACTTTCATCATTCAAAAATGGCAATTGCTATGGATTGAATTGTGTCTCTAACCACACTCACTTAAACAACAACTACAACAACAAAAGCCCGTATGTTGAAGTCCTGTCACTGTGATTATATTTTAAGAGAAGGGCATATGGAGGTAATGAAGGTTAAATGAGGTCCCCGTCAGTATGAACCTAATCTAGGAGGGTGGGTACTTTTTATAAGAAAAAAAGACACCAGAGCTTTCTGGGCCTCCACCCAAATACATAAGTACACACTCAGGAAAGGCGTATGAATACAGAGCTAGAAAGTTACTTGTCCATAAGCCAGGAACCCAGTCAGTCAGTCCCTTAATCTTGGAACTCCCATTTTCCAGAATTGTTAAGAAATAAATTTCAATTGTTTAAGTCACTCAATCCCTGATATAGCAGCTCAAGCAGATAAAAACAGGAACACTCCACCTTAACTCCCAAAACTTTTCCCTATGACAAAAATCATAAAAATCAAGGCTGAGGGGTATGGCTCAAGTGGTAGAAAGCTGCCAAACAAGTGCAAGGCCTTAAGTTTTGACCCCAGAAATGCACCCCCCCAAACAACAAGAAAAACAGTACCAGAATTTGTTGTTGTTTCAAACAGTTTTGAAAACAGAATTTTAAAAAATGGATGGAGATGTGGCTCAAGTGGTAGAGCATTAGCCAAGCAAGTGTGAGGCCAAGTTCAAACCCCATTAGGGCCAAAAATAAATAAGTAAATATGGAGTAAGACTACCTTTGAAAATTCCACTCCAAAAAACTACAGAAATTAAACAAGTATTTTCTGTCAATTTCCTTGAAAAGAAGTAGTCACTGGGATCAAAAAGAAAGTTTGGGGGTTAGAATTTTTATTAACAAGAGGACTCTCCTTCTCTAAAATTAGGGACTAAGGTTCCTCAGAATGTCTGTGATTCTCTCATGGCAAAACAAAAATGTCAAACAGGATTGGAAAAAAAAAAAAAATCCTTGTTCAACCAAATCAGAAAGGTAAATGTTAATAAAAACTAGATGTACTTAAAAATCATAAATTCCTTCTGCTTTCACCTTTGTAGAAGTGTTTGAAAAATGCTTACCCATTTACAAACATTCCTCTAGTGCCTAAATTGCAGTAGTCTTTACATGAACATGAGCTACCCTGCCCATGTGTGCATCCTGCTCAGCTTGCTACTAAACTATGGTTTCAATCCCCTCCCCTGTAAGCTGCAAACAGCCTGCCATCATGCAGGTACAACATCCCTCTTCTGAAGGGCTTGAGTCACAGTGTTTTCTTATTAAGGATGCTCAACCACTAGTTCTATCCCTCTTCAAAAGACTCCCCTTAAATCCTATCACCCACACTCCAATCTCTCACTTTCCATGCCCTAAGAATAAATTTTATTTATTCTCTTACAATTTTATGACTTACAGTCATTACTACAAGTAGCACCAAGAACAAGACAACCCTTCGTTGTTTCTACTCTTTATTCTAGAGTAGAAAAGAAATAAGATAAACTAAAGAGAAAACTGTGTGCCTAAGTTTATAGGTTAATTACTCTTGCACTCACTCTTACTTCTGCCATGTTCTAACTCTTGAAAATATGGTATACAAAACTTGTCATATGAAGTGTCCTAGTGGGGACACAGGTAGTTGCCTTGGGTCTGGGGTTCTTGGTTAGTTTTACAAGTTGAAGTGTTTGATTTTCTCCAAGTTCCCCCAAGAAAATCCAATTACAGAAACAGTTGATCTCATTCAATTTAATCTACCTTTCTGTCATCCCACTGAACTGTAATATCCTTTCTGGACCTGGACAACTACCTTGCTGTGGTAGAGTACGCTAACCACATATGGGACTGCAAATCAATTTCTTTAAGTAGAATACCATGGTCCCTATTTAAGGTTCCTTAAGAGCACACTTAACAAGTTTGATTTGAAGGGAAGACTTTGACAAACTGCTCCACTACATCTTCTGTCACAGATGAAAGGAAAGGAAAAGCTCTTAGGCAATTTGGTAATTTATTACCTCCCCAAAAACAGCTTTCAGTTTTAAGATGTATATGAAAATCTTCATTTACTTGTATATAATCCCTCTGTCCATAAACGATTGCAAACACTAGCCTGGATAAACTGTTTTAATATTGAATTTAAAAAATAGTTTACCAATCTTACTCCAGTTAGTGAACAACCACTAATGGGTTTTCTATAGTAAATAAAACCAGTGGTTTAAAAGAATTTTAATCTTGGGAGGGGAGCTAAAGGAGAATGATGGAGGGGGGCAAATTCAACTATGATATATCTGATATATTGTAAGAACTTTTGTAAATGGCATAATGTAACCCCACCCAGCACAACAATTAAAAAAAAAAAAAAGAATTTTAACCTTTATTCCTAATAGTTACATCCAAACTTAAACCAGGCAATAAATACTGCTGCGGGAAGACATAAGGCAATGAATTCTAATAAAACATGCCACGACATCTGTAATACCATCTCAAAACACCTCAAATTAAAAACACTACATTAGATCTTTTTTCCCTCAAAAATGTTTTGTCCTGTTATGAAGTCCTTGAACATGACTCTCCTTGAATAAATTTAGTTTTACAGAGATTTAATGACTTGTTATTAAGTAAGTAACAGAGCAGACTAGAACAAAAATCTTCCAGTCCCTTAGGTTAGTCTTTATCACATTACTTCCTACACACCAAATTCTCAAATCTCAAGGATAAAGTATAAAGTGATAAAGGATTAAAAAAAACAAACTTGTAAGCATGCGGTACACAAGCAAGGTACTACATAATTAAAGGCAAGTAAATGATAAATGACAACAGTGGCTATCTTCAGAGAGTACTGTGGTCTAGAGCTAACGATGAACTTGAGAAATTACCCACTCTAATGGATACAAAGCTAATGAGTGACATAAAATAGGGGAAAAAGGTAAGTTGAACTGAGTTTAGAAACCTACCTAGATAGGATTTAAATAGGTAGAAGAAAGAATGTTTCAAGTAAGGAAATAAGAAAATTTTTAAGTCTGAAACAATCAGTCAAGTTTAGAGGATACTGAGTAAATCCTTTAAAAAGCTAAACTGTGTGCTGGAGGAGGGAACAGTTTAAATACTTAATGAATTATAAAACAAAACAAGAACACAGTAGTTAAAATGTTTTATTAATTGCAAATACAATTCTAACGTGAAAAGTGGAAGAGACGATTTTAAGAAAGGAGCAAAAGAGATGATTTTTTTAAAATGGACAATGAAACAAAATCAAAACAAGAATCAATGAAGAAAGACATGGACAAAATAACTATGTCAAAAGGTACCTCATGCACTTAAGTTGTGGAAACATTAAACTGTTTCCAGAGTCTAAAAGAGTATGTCTGTCTACGGAGCCTTTTAAGTACATGGAACCTAACAGCCAAGTCTGCTGATCACTTACCTCTCTAGCAGCACAATCATGAGGAGCTTCTTCTTTATTTACTTTTCCTTTTGGAAATCCCCAGCCTGACTTTGCTAGGTAACCCTGAACCAGTAGTACCTATAAAACAAGCAGAGATAAAAGTCAAACTTGCCCTCCTTTCCCAACTGCTTTCTAAAATCAAAGGTGCTCTTACTTCAGGTAACTTTATCACAATAATTTTACATATCTTTTATTTAACTGTCTTCCATGAGTATAAGAGTGAAGGCATTCTGCATATTTAAAAAAGTATTTTTTCAACAATGAAGTGACATTTCTTTACATTAACCCACAACTGCAATAGGTCTAAAATCTTAAGATCCAGAATGCATAAAAAAGTATGCAAAAATTGGTCTCCTGGAACTAAAACTCTAAGATTTTAACGTCTGACTTTACAATATATAAACAAATGTTACTAACATGTTAAAGATTAACGGTCCATCACCATTTCACTTCAAAATCTTTTGCTCTTTTATTGCACTCACATTTTCAAGTGTCTCATCAAGAATAATCGCACCATATGTTGGTACTCCCATTTTATATTCCTTCCATTCATCCAAAATTTTTTCCACATCTTCACCTTGTGGCAGCAAAAACGGACAATGACTGAAGAGTATAAATAGTGTTAAGGAAGCTATTTTCTCCCTTAACACAGCTTGAGAAACTACAAAAAGACCTATTTAAATCAACTATGTATTTCATATGAAATTACTAAAACCTTCCCCTTACTTAAGCTTAATATTTCTGCTTTTGTTTTTTCCACATGTTCTCTTGAACACATCACTGCCAACTTCTACATATGGCCTAGATACAAATCAATTAAGTTTTGTAAACTCAGTCCTAAACCAAGTTAACAAAAATGGGCTCAAACCATACCACCACAAATACTTTTCTTTAAATGAATGAAACACATCATTATCAGAGTTAACACAATCTGAAACTGATGGCAAGAAACAGAAGTACATATATATTGCTAAAGGAAGAAACCATCAGGAACAAAAATTAAGATGGTTACCTCAACTAGGGATGAGGCACATACTCCCTCCTACAGTGTTACAGTTCTTTACTGCACACATCTTGACTGTAAGGTGAAAAATATTTTAAACATGAAGACTTCCTAAGGATTACAAAGAAAGGTAAATCTGGGTATTAAGGAAAATATAGTCAGTTTCAAAAGAAACTGGGTATGTTCCCTCAAAATTGGGCAGCATCTAGTAGTAGGGGAAAAAAAAGTAAAAAAAAAAAAAAAAAAAAAAAAACCAAACCCTGAAATTGTATGTTTAGCCTTTTAGTACTTTGTACCATCAAAGGCCTCCTCACCATTCTAACACCGGTAATTGTGAAAGATGCAGAAACCTTATGACAGTGTTTCTAAACCAAGAATCAATTTTTAAGAGTTCTCAAGTCCTCTACAAAAATTTGTTTTAATTTTAATGTTAATCTAAAAACACATTATATATTTCCAATCATTGGGAATGAGCACACATATGAAATACTACCACTTGATTTCAGACACATTGTTACTAGAACTATTTTAATTGCTACAGGCTATTAAAATCAGAAGAAGCCTAATATGGAAATGATGCAATCGAGTTAAATCATGTCCCAATGTTACACAGAAGGGAAGACTTCTTAGGAGATGGGGTAGAAAAATGTGGGAGAACTGGTGGTACAGGAACAGAGAGTCTTTGCGTTAGCACTATATTTACAGAGATGAGAAATTGGGACAAAACAAAAATAAATTTGTTTTAGTTACTTAAACTTTGAATTCAACAATTTTATATTTTAACATTTGTTGGTTTTATGGTTGTAGCAAAAACTAAAGAACTCTACAAATACAGAGATGTGGCACTGTAATTAAAAGATAGGCACTAGGTTAGTCTCAATATAGTATTCCATGTTGTCATTGAGGAGGGGAAAAAGATACTAGTTTGGATACAAAATTAACCATCCCATGAATATCTATGGTTCCAGAAGGGCTTACTAAAATTGTGAAAGTTATCTCCTAGTAAAAGCCTGGTTTTAGACAGCACAAGCAAGGTCCTGAGTTCAAATACCAATACCACCTTCCCACCCCACCCCCAACAGAGAAACTAAGACCCCAGAAACAGACATAATCTTTAATTCAGAGTAGGATGCTTATTCAGTATATTTCCTTTCCTCATCCTCCTCCCTAGAATTTTTCTAATAATTTCAAAGTACCCATGTCTCCCCAAAATGTAATTTCTGATATCTAATTTTTCTATCCATTAAATTTCTTCAAAAAGAGTAAGCTAGACACAGTTGCCTATAACTACAGTAGCTAGCAGCTACTGCAAGGCTGAGGCAAGAGAATCATGTCAGCTCAGGAGTTCGAAGCCAACCTAGACAACATAAGCAAGACCCCATCTCAAAAAGGTAAATTAATAAAAGACTTAATGGGAGAAAATACATGAACTGACTTAAGTTCAGAAACTATCTATGAGCTTCATCCATTTTTATCCATTCTATCCCAAATCAGCACAAAATAACCAAGTTGAATGAACCAGTCAACTACAGTATAAAATGTACTTGCGATTGTTAAAAAAAAGAAATCTATTAAGTACTTGCCCAAGTTCACACAATTAGCAAATAACAAAATGACATCGATCTCCCTACTGACAATTCCTCTAAGTTCATTACTATTTATATTACATAAACAGTACTACAATTCAATCATGGAAGGAGAAATTTTTAAAACTCATTTTTATTTAAAAATATACTTAATTTTAAAAAGCTTGCAGTAATTTTTAACTATTGTTTCTAATTTTTCATTAAAATTCTTACTTTATGTATGATTTCCTTAAACCACCCCCCAAAATCAAATTGTTTTTGAATCTTGAATCTTGATCACTGGATCATAGAGTAGTTCTAAGAATAGAAGACTGAACTGATTAAAGAATCTAGGAATCTAATGTTCACTTGTTTTACATGCTTTCTTTCTTCTTAACACTCTTGCAAAACCATGAAAAAAACAGGTCAAAGTAAAGTCATTTAGACAATCTCCACCCCAAATCCTACCAATTATCCTAGAAGACATCAATTTTCTCATGGACAACTCATCTCAAGTCCTAGCTTCAGTTCCTTAATTTCTCTTTCACATCCATTCCCACTGCTGTGGCCGATTCCCACAGCAAACTTCTGGACAGCCAGCACTAGGACAATTCTGACAGTCTGACTGAAAACAACTTGACTATAATTTTCTACACCTTTCTTTCAGCTACATCCACTAGCATTACTGTTATTCTTCATTAGTCTTTAACTGTTTTTCTTTCTCCCTCCTTTTATTTTCTTGATAAACAATACAACCTACCACTTTCATCAATCCATTAACAGTATTCTCAATTCCTTTGCCCCACTATTCTATAAATACGGTTCCCTAGCAAAACTTCATCCCAGGAACTAATCCAGGATACTTCTGTGTCTATCCACACTGCTCAGTATTTACTGAAGACAAACCTCAAGATTATGGCAATTTATAAGAGTACAAAAGTACAAGACAAATCCCACAATTTGACCACAGATGCTAGTAAATGGGAGAGACAGGATGTTAACCCAAAGAATGTGGCTCCAGAAGTCACGCTGTTATAGCTCTTTATTCCCACACAAAACTCCTTTACTTTCCTACAAATTAAACAGCCACAATGATCCAATCAACTGTTGAAGAAATCAGAAACCAGGGTACAATCATTTCTTTTACTATTCCTCAGACAGCCAAGTAATCACCAACCATATATATATATATATATATATATATATATATATATATATGTACACCTCCCAAATATCTTTAAACTCTGACCTCTTCTATTTACTTCTACTATACAGGTTTTCATTATCTCTCTCATAAATAAATAGCATCTTAACAAGGTTCCCAGTGTCTTAGAAGTCTTACTTTCTTCTATTTCATTGTCCACACTGTTATTTAGTAATTATTCAGAAAATTTCTAAAGAAATCAGAAAGGTAATCTGATCCCATGGTTAAATGGGAGCAAAATAAAAGAAGCTATTTCTAAAAGAAAATCAAATTTATTTCTAATCAGTGTACATTTCATGGGGTTTTATGTATATAACTGTGACTATAAAATACAATTGTGTCTATTATTTATATATACATAAACTTTCTGATTGTGTTGAAGATCAAACCCAGGCCTCACATATGCTAGGCAAGCACTCTAGCCACAGAGCAACATCACCAGCCCTTACTCTTATATTTGACAATTTTTAGAAATCAAGGATGTGTTTGTTATCTAGTAGATTAAAAATCTAAAAGATAAGCAAGATGAAGTTTGTGAAGTATTTTATTAATAAATATAAAAGACAATCATAATAACAAAAAGGATATCGGCTTTAGCAAAGTCTCTTATCCCACACTGAGGTAATCCTGGTGTGTTCTGCATGTAGAAATCCAAGTAAAACCAATGGGCAAGTTCAATCTGAAAACATACTCGGATTGCATTGTCTCTTTCCTCGCTGGGAATATGCAAAATAAATCGGCTGTCAAAAACAAAACACATACAAAAATTACATTTAGAAACTGTTAATGATTTTAACCTATTAAATTGCTTCACCCCGCCCTCCAACTTATAAAAGATCAAAGCAGCAATCAACATTTGAGGGAAATTACCACAGGAAGATGAATATTAAAATGATGAGAGAGCTGGGCATGGTGGTATACAACAATAACCCCAGCATTTGGGAAGCAGGAAAATTCTGAGTTTGAGCCTGGCCTACAGACCCAGAAAGGGGGACAGGGGAGAGGGGAAGCAAAACAGGAGATATCATATGTCATAACAGAATTTCTCAGAAATAAGCTGTAAGAGTTCACTAACAACAAATCAAAATGAACAAGGAAACAAGCTTCACTAGGACTTCTCCCATGTCTAGCAGCAGTTCCAATATAATGCATGTATGTTCCTACAATTCAATAACAATGTTTCAACAATACCCTGTTGCTGCTCAATGATACACTTCCCAAAGAGCCTATCTGTAGAGCAAAAAAAAAAACCAAACAACAAAAACTTTCAAATAGATTCACTTTTAAAAATCCAAAAGTGTCTTTTTCTAAGTACCTATAAGACATGCTTTATATATGTGAGTATACACTATGTAATATGTACATGTATGTGATGGAGACAATGAGCACCTGTTTAGGTGAGACATACAAGTCAGAATCTATAAATCTGAATGAGTGATTTACAACAGTCATGAAGCACCTACTAATTACTTCTTCCAACACTAAGCATTTTTTCATAATCCTTTTCCCTAGCAACCATTAGAGACAGACTTAACTAATTCAGAGAAGCTTGTGGGTTTTAGAATCACCTTTTTAAAATTAAGAATAGTTAACACTCAATTTGATTATTCATACTACATTATTCACTAGCTATGGTGCTTTATGATTTTTGGTTCTTCTCAGGTTTCATATCAAATCTCAAGAGTATTTTTAAATTATGAAATTTATTTTAACTTTCCAATAAGGAGTTAACAGGACAGATGTACACATAATAATTTGTATTTCGATATAGAAAAATCACAGAGGGAACTTAAACTGCTCAGAATCTAAGAACAAAATGTCTAACATGTAACTCTAATGGCATTATTTAAGATACAATCTAAACTTTTGCTATATGGCATTTGGGATCTAGTCCCTGCCTACCAATTCAAGTTTTTATCATTCTCTCTACTGCCTAATTCTTAAAACTGACAAGCTGTCATTTATAAAATTCATCTATCCTTATTTTTTCTTCTCCATCTATCAAACTCCTAAATTCTCCTTTGAGACTTAAAAAAACTTATCTCCACTATTTAAGTACAATAAGCTCCTCTGAACATACTCTCAGAATCCTACTCAATTAGAGCAATTGTCTGATTTTTACAGTTATTGTCCATAAGCCCAAATTAACTCAGTAATAATGTACTCTATCTATGCATATTTTTATTTCCATAATCTAGCGAATTGTTTAACATACACTGAGTTGTAATTTACCGTTTAATGATTACACAGATTCTTCTTCTTCCTGGTAAGAAAGAATAAGCAAGCAGTACTCAGTGTCCCTCTCACAACTGGCTTACCTGAAAACTCTGAGTATAGCAAGAAGTCTAGAAAAGACCAGAATCAAAGTGATTTTCCCATTTTTCCACTCTCTGATATATCTGGAATGAGGGCTAAAGAAGGCATCATCAGTGAAGATAAAAAGAGCTCCAGAAGTCCTCCATTTCTGCCTCAAGGATCAAGAAAAGAGACTGACGGGATCTTCTAATAATGCTCGGCAGACAGTGAGGGAATTTCTCTACTCCATTCTCTCACACCCAGCCCCAAACCAATCCCATCATGGTTACAGAGATAGCAACAAAGAGGATCCACACAGAGACAAGAACCTTCCCTTCTAACCTTAAGAGCTATGTGGTCCCAAAAAATAGGCAGTTACATGAGGTGTGCAGCATGGTTTTCTGCCCAAGGATCCAAAAGGGGAGCCCTAAGAAATGCAGAAGCACTAGGGAGATATCAGAGGGACAAGTATCTTGGAAAAATGGCTTCACAAAATTGTTTATGAACTCTGGGGCTCAATCTTGATCTAGACTACAAACAGCCTATAATAATTTTTTGAGAAATGAATCACAATATAGGCCACTGCCCAAGTCCCAGAGTGGGCACTGGGTAGATAGAGGACAAACAGCACACTGAGAAAAACCAGTCATCTTTTATCTGATTTAACTTAATTTACCTTGATGTCCCAAAAAAGAAAGTAAAAAAATCACCCTATTATTTTTTTTTCTCAGTTTTGGGTACTTCCTATTAACTTCCTCTGTGGAAAATGAGAAATTACCTCTATTTCCTCTCCTGATCCACAGTTTTCTCATCTTCCCCTTCTTCCAACAAAACTGTACCTGTTTCAGTTAGTTTCTCAACTCTGACACTACAGATATTTTAAAGCAGGTAATTCTGTTCAGAGGCTGAGCTACCCTATGCCACCAGATGTTCAGCGCCATTTCTAGCCTCTATCCATCAGCTGTCAACAGCACTTAGCTGCCAAGTTGTAACAATCAAAAACACCTCCAAATATTGCCAAATATTCTTTGAAAGGAGAAAAATCACTCCTTTCTGGGTTAGATGTTTAATTTCTGGGTTAGATGTGTTAAATAAAAATCACAGGAGATCCTTGTTTTAGACTAAACTCCTACACTAGGCCCCAACTAATCAGACTATCAAAATGGAGTCACCAATGAGAAACCAAATTGTTATCTGACTTTCCCAGAAACCCAGAGATAACTGCCAAATTTCCCAAAGGCCACTTTTAATGATAATGAAGTCCCCTCTGCTTTAATCCTTACAAAAGGAAAAAATAACTTGAACTAAACAGATGTCAACATATCAATTATTTTGTCTTCTGGACCTAGTAACTTCAAAAGACCAACCCACTCTTTGTTCTTTGTTTCTTCCACCTCTGACTATAAAACCAACCTCTTCTACTCAGCTCACTGGAATACTTACTTGATTTTGTATAATGAAGTGTTGCCTGATTCTAAAATGCAAAAAGCCAATTAAGATCTTTATATCTGTTGTCATCTTTTCACATATGAGCATGCAGTCCTTACATTATAATGATTCTATAATTTACAACTAAACCATGTGATATACTGTGATTTGTTTGTTTCCTGCACAATCCTTTGTTCACCCTATAATCAATACTCATCAAGGCCTTCATGCCACTAACTCAATTTTCTACTAGTTTCTTTTCCAACAGTTTCAGTTTCATCTTGAAAACTGTCCTTGGGTCTTCTGACCTGTTCTAATTTGGACCAGTTATCCTCTATTCCTGGCACACATTTGTCATCTTACACTGTCCTTTCACTGTTATCCTATGGTTCCCTATTTCTTCATCTTCTATTAAAGTTTGTATTTCTCGAATCCTTGTCTTCCTCCACTTTCTTGTTTTCTTGAAACATATCCTCCCATAAGTTCTGGAGGAAGGATGCAGGGAAGGTAAGTACTGTACTAATGAAAATATCTTTATTCTCATACTTGGTAATCTGGGTAAAGAATTCTTAAATTAGAATTAGTTTCTTTCAGAATTTTGAAGAAAGTGCTGTCTTGTTACAGTTTTCAGTTTTGATGTTGAGAACTAAAGCTATTTAGATTCTTAATCTTTCCTAACTGACCTTTTTTTCATTCTTGAGGACTCTAAGATCTTTCTTCTTTCCCAGTGTTCTACAATCTTCCAGTGTTTTTAATCTACTGCATTGCCACTCACTAGACTTATTTATTTGGCAACTACATCCTTTGATGCTAAAAGAACTCATGGACCAATCCTCTCATTATTCTTTAATTTTCTCTGGTATTTCCTACCTTTGATTCTTTTTCCCCCCATCTATATTCTGGGAAAATTCCTTATCCTGTATGTCACTTATTAGGGTTTTTATTTCAGCTCTCATTATTTTTAATTCTCAAAATCTCTTTTCAGTTCTTTAGCAGATGCTTTTGCAGAGTATCCTGTTCTTATTTCATGGTTATAAAAGCTACCTAAGAAGATTGACATAGTTTTATTTTGAAGTCTTCCTTTACCCGTATTGTCCAATTGCTCTACCTTTCCTAAGAGGTATATTTCAGATGTTCCTATTTGAGACAGACAGCTACTTAAAAGGGTTGTCAAATTATGAAGCACAACTTAAGGAATACAGGCTGAGTCATTTAATTCAAAAATGTCTATTATAACAAATTTAACATGAACTTAGAAACTGCTTTTTAAAATTTTGTTTGGTTTGAGACAAGGTCTCGTTTTGTAGACTAGGTTGGCCTCAGATTCTTTATATGACCCAGTCTGGCCTCATACTGGTGACCCTCCTGCCTCAGCCACACCAGTGTAAGGATTACAGGCATGTCTACCATGCCCAGCTTAGAAGCTGTTTTGTTAAAAAGCGCTAATGCTGTACTTGGGCCTGCAAGGTATCTACAAACAGGTTAGCAACCTAGCTTCTCCATCTTCATTTTCTATCTGTCTCTTTTACTTTGGGTCAGATTCCTGCTCCACTCTACATGTAAGCATGCTAATCACTGTCAAATTTGCAGGGATATTCAACTGTGAGCTTTTAAAAGTACTATCCCAGATTTCCTAAAAATCTCTAGTCTTTGCCCTAACCCTCAGTCACCTTGGATTCTAAGAACAATGGAGCCTCATGTACCCATGCATCACCCCCTAATGAGATCATCCCCTAAATGGAAGCAATTACCCCATGATGGAAACTGAGCTGCCTGTAGAGATCAGACTGTGCCCTGCTCTAAGTTACTCTGTAATGTATAGAACAGTAGCTTTCAGGCTGTGCCTTGCCCTGAGTAACTCCATTTTATAAAACAGCAGTTTGCTCCTTTTCAGTGCAAATGCTGAGACAGAATGGCTCAAACAAAATATATCTTATTTGTGAAAATAATCACAATCTGTCCAGCACAAACCCTGAGGCAAACTGATAACTTATTAACATAAATAAAATATTACCAC